TCATTTAACATGTTAACTTTTTGTGACAACACTCTATATGAGGCAAGCTGTCACAATGTAACCTGCCATTAAATTGCCTATTAAAGGCTTTCAACTAAATTTAAACAAAAAATCACATAATACTGTATTGTTTTAAAACACATGACAACTTGCACTGACCTGACATTTATCTAAAAATCTCTTTGTCCTGAGAATACAGTTTAACCCTTGTGTGACTGTATGCCATGTGAGTTACATGTTTACCAAATAGACATTACAAAAAAAAAACGAAAAAACATGGTATTAGTATTTTAGGTTGGAGGATTAAATTCATATATATATTTTTATTACTATATTACATGCACCTTTGTGTCAGACAACCTGTCCAGGATCTGCACACCTGCCAATCAATGTACAGCATGCCTGTGTTTCTACTTGACCAGGGTTGCAGACGGTCGAGGCTGTGCTAAATTTGGCATCAGTGTAACTCCCAAACTTGGTTACTGAATTCCTCGCAACCATGACATTCACCACACACTCCTTATAACGTTTAGTTTCGTGAATCACATTCCCATAGTTCTATACCAATGCGCGTCAACTCATACAAACACTACATGTATAAGAAATATATGCAGTACTGTAAGTTAGTACTTCTACTGTAAGTTATAACTGTAAGAAGGAAAACTTCAGTTGCGTTGAGGCGTATCGCATGGTAAGCACACAAAACGCACGAACGCTTGTTAATGAAGTGTTTCTGTGTACTTACAGGCAGCTTGGGGTCGATTTCACCTCTGCAGCAGTGACAGAAGAACCGGTGTCGTGGAGCAGCAGCCTCCGCCATCTTCACTCACTAAAAGCTTCTATAGAGCTATGACGTTGGCACTAGGAAAGCAGAGCCGTTGAGAAACAGAGTTGCGACACTCCCATAGGCTTCCATAGGAACTGAGGAACGCGGAAGTAAAGCGTGTCATGGAGCAGCCAATAGTTCCAAACAAACCAATAGTTCCAGTATTGAAGCCCATTCATTTCAGTGCTTCTCAAGCACACTCGCCAGAACGTTAAGGAAATTACAGCAGTTTTTGGCATTTTAACAAATTGGTTTACCTCTCGGAAATCTGGCCAGTAGTTTGTATTTTATGAAACGCGTTATAGTTAATGTTTAGTTTTAGATTGTAGGCAGTTATGCTATATTTGCAGTTAGATAACGTGAGAAACACCTTA